GAAATAAGCACTGGTTTACTTTTAGGTTTTCTAACTTCAATACAAAGCAATTCGAGAGTATCTTGTAATAAATCTTCACGTACGATATATGGAATGATAGTCCTTATATATGTAGCTACCCCTCCCCCATGTCTGTTTCGGTCAGATCTGACAATATCATAACCAGGTATCTGTACTTCACAGTCTAGGAAAGTACTGTCTAATCTAGTTTCATTTAAGGTCAATATATCGAAAGGTTCATCACGCATATAAATAAATAGTTCTTCATAGTGTTTAGGCAAGCTAGCGATGTTAAGTTGTGCTACTTTGAAACCTTTAAGTTTAGGAAGAATAGGGTTTGGTTGCTTTACTGGCCTTATTGTATTGGTAACAGGTTGTGGAGGGGGTGGAGCATCGGTAGATGGTCAATTAGGATTTTTTAGATAGTTTGTAAAGTTCTGGGCTAATTTAGCTGTTCCTTGTTTAGAAAGATGGAGCCCATATGGGTTCAAATGTTTAGAGGAAATATTTCTGTGGGTAATGATCTTCCACTTATTATTGGTACATACCTGGGATAGCTTAGTATTAAGTTCTGTAATTTTCGTATTCAGACTTGGGTCATCATTTCTTGTAATTACTTCGGAAATAGCAAGATTCGTTGTAGGTAGTTCCTTCTTGATCTGTTGCCCAAGCATGGATATGGCATTTGTTATCTCTTGTGGTGTACTTTGTCTCACGTCGTTTGTACCGACATGCAGAACCAAATGGTCGGGTGTACGGGCCAGAGTAGGTTTAACATAATATTCCATATCGCTTACCTTCGCACCTGGAAACGTCTTGATTTGAGTGTTAAAGCTCCTTGTACTTCTCCTTAGCTGTGTAGGATTTATGTGCTTGAGCATCGAGTCTCCCACGATAGCAACGTTAGGACGAGTGTGATGATAAGTTTGCTTCGTTTCTTTGCTGTCAGTATGATGCCTTCTGTTATATTTCTCATTTACTTGTTTATGTTTCGTTGCTGGTTCTGTACGAGCGGTAACAAGGTCATTCTGCGTAACATCCACGTCATCTGCATTACTTTCCTTAGTGTTAAGGTTGGAAAATCTATTACTCACTTGAATGTTCGGATTCAACACTTCTTTTGTTTGCCCAGCGCAATCAACTGAATCCTGTGTCTCGCTTTGTTTACTCGTTTCACCAGTGTAATTCTTAATTGTGGCGTTGGGTTCGTTGTTCGAATCTTCGACCAGTAGTCTCATAGCAGTAATTAGACTTTCTTTTTCTTGCTCGGCACTCTTGGCCTTTCCTTGCAAATCGGCTAATATATAGGTTAAGTTGTTAATTCTCACGTCCAAGTCACTGTTCTCGACTTTAAGTTTCGCATTCTTATCCGTAAGTTTACGATTCTTTTCTTTTAGTATGGCAATTTCGTTTTCTAATTCTTGATAATTTGGCTGTTTCCTGTCATTCGTGTTTTCAATGAGCGACTTTATAGCAGCTGTATTGGTAGATACTGCTTTATTTAGTGCTTCTAATCGATTATTTAGATATTCTAAAGAATGCGACTCGCTCGATTTCTCCGCCTCGCTCGACTGCTCGAAGCTAACGTTCTCATTATAGCTGTCCTGATTCCCTGCTTTGCTTTCTTTAGAATGCAACTCGCTCGACTTTTCCAACGAATGCGACTCGCTTGATTTCTCCGACTCGCTCGATTGCTCGAAGCTAACGTTCTCATTATAGCTGTCCTGATTCCCTGCTTCGCTTTCTTCAACGGCACTAAGTCGTTTTGACACCGAAGCCAACGAAATCAACTGCTCTTTGGTTGCTTCCTTAAGTTTTCCATTAAGCGTGATAGATTGGGTGTCTATAGACAGGTGTCTATAGATTGGGTGTCTATAGATCTCTACGTAGAGATATATCGTTAAGGGAAAGTGTCAGATCACCCACAAGTGAATTTATTCTTTGTTTTGAACCAACAACCATATATTCAGTTTTTACTGTATTTAAAGTAAGTTTGTTGGCTATAAGCCAGGATTCTAAATGTTCCAGGTCTTTTTTCATCTGCCGTTGAAGTTCAGAAAAAACACATGCTGAGAATGATACGTTAGTGTCATCTGCATACATTCGGGCAGTACCATGATTAACAGAAGTCGTCAAATCATTTATATAAATAATAAATAATAAAGGACCTAGAACTGAACCTTGGGGAACTCCACTTTTGACCTGCACTTTACCAGATAAATAACCATTAACATAACATTGTTGAGTTCTATCAGTAAAATATGATTTAAACCAATGTAATGTTTTATCACAGATTCCAAGAAAACTTAATTTGGTTAATAATATATTATTAACTGAAAACTTAATTTGGTTAATAATAATAATAATAATATATATATATATATATATATATATATATATATATATATATATATATATATATATATATATATATATATATAATATTAATGAGACCAAAGATGATCAAATTTACAGTGTAGAAAGAGTGCTCAATACCATTTAATAACGTAGAGCAAATAATTTAATTTCTTAACTTAAAATATAGTCACAACTCTAAGTTTCACGCTCAATGCGATCTTCAGGCGACAATGTTTAAATCTCAATAAAAATTCCTGTATGATTACGTGCGAGTTCGTTAGGCTACTTGCGTGATGGTATTGCGTGCGCACGTTCAAATTTTCCCGCCAAGAATTGTTTCCGGTGGCAACACTTCGAGAATAGCTCACATCTCCTGTTCAGCAATCTTTTCCTATCACCTTTCAAAATTTCGAGTTTCTCTTGGAGGCATAGGTTGCAACTTTTTGCGCCGCTGCGATAAGATGATGCTTGCTTCAGAATGGACCACTTGATGTTGAATGTACGTTTCTTGTTTTTCAAGTTCCAAATGTGTTTGGACAGTTCAGTGGATTTTACATAGCTCGTGTCTTTGAATGATGTCTTGTGGTTGTAATAACGTTTCTTGAACGTGTTTTATGTCATCCCAATATAATCTCGAATTACTCCTGTGTCGTCCGTAACCTCGGCTTTATAAACAACGCTCTTTGTAAGGCAATTATTGTTTAAGGGACATTCAGTGCTTTCTATGCAGTTACAGTTGTCTTTGGTAGATGCTACAAGGGTACTAAGGTTATGTTTGGAGATGACGCTTTTACAGTTATCCATGCAACTATAGCTTACTTTGACCGAGTTTCTGTTAAAGATCTTGTGTAGCGGGTTAGACGCAGGGAAATGTTTGTCAATCAGGTTTAGAAAGTTTCTACCAACATTTGTTCTAACATTCTTACTAAAAGGTGGATTAAACCAAATTATATTTCTCGTTCTCGTTCTATTCTTCTGTTTATGAGAAACTCGAAGAGAAACTCGAAATTTTGAAAGGTGATAAGAAAAGATTACTGAACAAGAGATGTGAGCTATTCTCGAAGTGTTGCCACCGGAAACAATTCTTGGCGGGAAAATTTGAACGTGCACACGCAATACCATCACGCAAGTAGCCTAACGAACTCGCACGTAATCATACAGGAATTTTTTTATTGAGATTTAAACATTGTCGCCTGAAGATCGCATTGAGCGTGAAACTCAGAGTTGTGACTATATTTTAAGTTAACAAATTAAATGATTTGCTCTACGTTATTAAATGGTATTGAGCACTCTTTCTACACTGTAAAATTTGATCATCCTTGGTCTCAATAATATTATCAAAGCACCTGTTATACGCGGTTGTGCACTCTTGTTTATGTGTAATCACTAATACTTAAAATGAATCAGATCCGGTTTAATTATTCCTTGAAGAATATTGGATTACCTTCTCGTGATGAATACAAGAAAAGGCTTATTGACAAGATCGAAAACGTGGTAACCAGAATGAGATGGAAAGCGCATTTTTACCTACATCAACCAAACGCGAAAGAACAATATAAATTTGGATTAAAATCAAAAACGGCACCACCTTTTATCCATGAAATGAAAGCTTTTGAAGATGATCTTGTAAACATGATGGGAAAAATTCAGTTCAGACACGTTTCAGACAAATTTTTAAATAATCTGGATAATGATCTGAAGAAAGTTAAAACGTCACCAAATGTATTTGTTTTTGCGGACAAAACCAAAAACGTATATGAAACAACACCGGAGAACTACAATAAAATTGTGAAAGATAACGTGACAAAAACATATAAACTTACTGACAATGATGTGATAGAGGAAATCAACTTTGAACTAAGCCAAATTACGGACAACCTTTCAGTCAGCGATCGTATCGAGACAATGGCATCAAAAGAAGCTTTTGTTACATTAAAAGATCACAAGGAGGACTTTGAAACAAATCCAAAATACCGTCTTATCAACCCAGCAAAGAGTGAACTAGGTAAAATTAGTAAGATCATCCTGGATGAAATTAATACACAAATCAGAAACGCTACCGGATTGAACCAGTGGAAAAATTCTTTATCTGTCATTGACTGGTTCAAAAACATCAAGAACAAACCTGGTCACTCCTTCCTTTCGTTCGACGTAGCAGAGTTTTATCCATCTATAACTGAGGAACTTCTTGACAAAGCCATCACTTGGGCTCGCGGGTACGTTAGTATCGATGATAAGCAGATCAAAGTCATCAAACACGCAAGAAAATCGCTTCTGTTCAATGACGGTAAAACGTGGATCAAACAACAAAACAATTCCTTGTTTGACGTAACCATGGGCAGTTTTGATGGAGCAGAAGTGTGCGAGTTCATAGGCCTATTTATACTAAATTCCTTGGCAAAGAAATATGGCAAAGACCGCGTCGGCCTTTATCGAGACGATGGTTTAATCCTACTACGAGGTACTTCTGCCCGGCTTGCTGACAAAGCTAGAAAAGATCTCCACCAACTTTTCGATGAGTTTCAATTGAAAATCACCGCAGAAATTACCCACCAATCTGTCAACTTCCTGGATATTACCTTAAATTTAAATGATGAAAGCTACCAACCCTATCGAAAGCCTAACAATGAACCACTTTTCATTGACAGTCATTCAAACCACCCTCCTTCAATTACAAAGCAACTCCCATCTTCTGTGGGCAACCGAATTTCTCAGTTATCATCGAATCAAGAAGCTTTCTCGAAGTCTGCACCTCTTTATGAAGCCGCGCTCCACCGTAGTCATTACCCAACAAATTTACGCTACTCCTCAAATAATAAACAAAAAAATAGAACGAGAAAAAGAAATATAATTTGGTTTAATCCACCTTTTAGCAAGAATGTAAGAACAAATGTTGCTAGAAACTTTCTAAAGCTGATCGACAAACATTTCCCTGCGTCTAATCCGCTACACAAGATCTTTAACAGAAACTCGGTCAAAGTAAGCTATAGTTGCATGGATAACTGTAAAAGCGTCATCTCCAAACATAACCTCGGTACCCTTTCAAAGAATAAAAGTGTTGTAGGAGCATCTACCAAAGAGAACTGTAACTGCATAGAAAGCACTGAATGTCCCTTAAACAATAATTGCCTTACAAAGAGCGTTGTTTATAAAGCCGAGGTTACAGACGACACAGGAGTAATTCGAGATTATATTGGGATGACATCAAACACGTTTAAGAAACGTTATTACAACCACAAGACCTCATTCAAAGATACGAGCTATGTTAAATCCACTGAGCTGTCCAAACACATTTGGAACTTGAAAAACAAGAAACGTACATTCAAAATCAAGTGGTCCATTCTGAAGCAAGCATCATCTTATCGCAGTGGCGCAAAAACTTGCAACCTATGCCTCCAAGAGAAACTCGAAATTTTGAAAGGTGATAAGAAAAGATTGCTGAACAGGAGATGTGAGCTATTCTCGAAGTGTTGCCATCGGAAACAATTCTTGGCGGGAAAATTTGAACGTGCGCACGCAATACCATCACGCAAGTAGCCTAACGAAGTCGCACGTAATCACACAGGAATTTTTTTATTGAGATTTAAACATTGTCGCCTGAAGATCGCATTGAGCGTGAAACTCAGAGTTGTGACTATATTTTAAGTTAACAAATTAAATTATTTGCTCTACGTTATTAAATGGTATTGAGCACTCTTTCTACACTGTAAATTTGATCATCTTTGGTCTCAATAATATTATATATATATATATATATATATATATATATATATATATATATATATATATATATATATATATATATACTATATATATATATATATATATATATATATATATATATATATATATATATATATATATATATATATATATATATATATATATATATATATATATATATATATACGAGTAGGTTTGTGTATACGAAACGCAAAGAGTGCTAGCTCAATCAGTACCATAAAGATAGAGCAAATATAGAATTGTCCCTGTCGGATATGCCTTTACAAAGAAAACACTAAAAGATTATGATAATAATATTATTGGCTTATATATTCAGCGATCTGGCAACCCTGTTACAAACAATGAACTTAAGGTAATTCCGCAGTTTTGCATTGCGCACTTTTACTGCGCACATCTTATAACTTATAATTTCATCCATTATACGTACCGTTTAAAAAAAATATCATTTTATGACAATTTTATGTTACTTCAAAACATCTTTGGTTACATTCGTGCAAAGAATTACGTTAAAATCAATGTTTTCAAAAAAGGCATACAAAAGTGTAGCTAGGGTTCCCTGTGTCTGTAGTATATTTATTTACTTGTATTTCACGTTTTAATGCCACAATTCCCTAAAAAGATCGGTGACCCCCGTTTTTTAACTGATAATTTATTTCTTTAATGCATTTTACATTTCTGGATCTTGAAAAAAAATGCTTTATCAATGCATGTTCTCAAAGAAAGATATGTAAAGAAATGTGCAAAAGACATTTGTGGATCAGAATTGTACACGTTAGTAGTTTCATTTTGCTCAAAACACAATATTTTTTCAAAAATAATTACAAGATAGGTTTACTAAAGCAAAATCCGCGCTAAAAACGTCAATAAATATCGTTTTTTTGTGATTATGCTGTTACTCGTAATGATCGTCAAGATGGCGCCATATTGGGGTAAAGGTGGTATATTGTGATTGTCATATCTTCTTAACGAGTTCGGTGACCCAGACTTTTTTGTGTGATTTTACTTTAAGTATATCATAAACTCCATGCCTACAGGGAACTTCAGCACATTTTCATTTCGGGAACAATTACTGCGGAATTACCTTAAACAGTTATTTTAATTATCATGTTTCAACGTCTAGTTGCTTAAGCCATTGGCATTGACCATTTTAACGTGTTTATTTTGTTTAATTTTAGTTTGCAATTCCTGGAGTCTTTAGTGTCCTAGCCGGATACAAAAAGCAGTCAAGTTTGGTAAGGAATGCTTTCATTCCGTATGGCCGTATGGGCTTATATCAGTTATTATAAAAAAACTCAATAATTCGTGAGGATATCATAAGCGTGTCGTATCAGTTTATATATTTACTTCAAAAACTCATTAATAATTCATGAATCTTGAGTAAGAAATTAGTCACGTGCATACGTCTTTATATCAGCTAAAGAACACTTTAACAAAAGACCATTGTTATGCAAACTATATAAAGATTTTTATATAAAGATTTTTATATAAAGATTTTTATATAAAGATTTGACTTATTATGCATACGTTTTTGAAGCCATTTAAAAAACTCGCAGGTCGTGTGTTACTAGGTCTAAAGCCACTCGCGCTGCGCGCTCGTGGCTTTAAACCTAATAAAACACTCCTGCTCGTTTTTTAAATAGTACATAAACTTTAACTTTGATTTTCTCGACTTACACATGCAACGTATGTTTTGAAAATTACTTCGCGAATGAACTGATACTAGATCGATCGTTTTTGAAGCAATTTAAAACATTCGCAGTGCGTGTTTTATCAGACCTAAATCAGATAAAACACTGCTGCTCATGTTTTAAATAGTACATAACGTTATAAAATTAGTCTTTAGTTTAGGAGTTAAACATTGCTGGGCTCATATACCGCATTTTTTTTTATATCAATATAGTTGGCTGTTGCACTTGGTACCCATGTCTTAGGAATTATTCTTGCGATTGTTGGAATGTATTTGGGAGCTTGGTTTTGGGCTATGCTGGATTCAAATTGTGCCGATAGTTATGGTTATAATTCTTCTATCTTTGATCCAAGTGCTAGTTGCTCCGACCTGAAAACTGTTCGCGAAGCTACTGGTGCAGTCACGATATTCTTTGCTCTTTTTGCTATCGTCACTTTGGTGGGATCAATTTATGGCTGCGTTGGAACTTGCTGTGCACGCCGGGTAAATTATGCTTGGTATATAGATATATCTATTTGAAGTAGTATGTCAAATCCGACTACGAGGACTGGACCAGATTTCAAGTCCTCACATTTTGATGAAATTGCGCGGACTTGAAATCTAGTCCAGTCCGAATTGAAAGATTTGAAATGACATCTCATACGAATAAATCACTACTTAAAGTCAGGAGAATAAATTTTGATCCACCCAGTCGAAGATTGAATTTGAATTGAATTTTGATATCCAGTCCTAGGACTGGATCAATATACTTCACCATATCCAGTATTTCCATGTGAGCAAAATAAAGCAATATATGGTTGGCTAATTTACTCAGGAATTATTAATGATTTTGACCCCAACCGATTGCCTTGCCTGGCTATTTTAATATTTTTCTATTACAGTGTTGTTAATTTGACCAAGACTTCCTGGATAAACTAACCAGCCTATGTTAGGCTAGGTGGATAAATAACTATATAGGGGCAACATAGTCTGGTTACTTATTTACTTTAACATGCCAGAACGTCGTGGTCAAATATAACCAGATTCCTGGTTTCATTATAAGAAACAAAGTGAGATAAAGTAACCAGGAATTTGAACAAGAAATATTAAGTTAACCTAAATGGCGTTATTTCTTGGTTAACCTGGCAATTTAACCTGAGTGATTTTAAATAGAAGAAATATGATCCTTCACAAAAATAACATATCTTTGTTCTTAATAGGAACCTGCAACTATTATCGTCACAACAGGTCAACAACCAAATACAATAATGATTACCGCACAAGCACGCTCGTCTTCCAACCGGCAGCCACTACCAAATACAGTGGTGATGACCACACAAACATACCCGGCCTACAGCCAAGTTAGCCAACAGCCACCACCTTATGATCCACCTGCTGGTCAAGGCCAAATGGTCGTCGATAGCAAAGCTTGTTGATTACATTTTTCACATATAATTACTATAGCTATTTAAGTCGAATAATGTATTATTAAAGGCCTATATTTACACGAACAATTATGTATTGAATATTGATAGAACTGAACCACTTAACTATTATGTAATTCAGTATAAGTTTCATTTGTGCACAATCAAATTAAGAGGGGAATGTTTTGTATGTTACGTAACACGCTCTCAAAACTGATGAATATACTTTTCCACTCAGTTATGACTAGTTTAATTTTTTAAATTTTTGATACGTTTCTCTAGCGGCAAACAAACTTAACTAGGGATCCAAGGATAGTGCAGAGTTTCAAAGACGAACGCTATATTGACATACTTATTAATTGAATAGTTTTTCAAGCGTGGTTTATAGCTTTAATCACATGTCGATATGACGTACAGTAGTAGCGCGCGTGACTGTTACAACAGTAAAAATGCTAAGATCTGGTTTAAATCTAATACTTTAAGATTAAAGAATGACGAGAGTTATGTAATATTATTTATTTCCTCATATAATATTAGTCACAAGGCATAATTTCTGTTATAATGTTGTAAAGTTTCCAATTGAAAACGACACTATATAAGGTCGCCGGCAACCTAGGTGACTTGTTTAAATCTGTGATTATTCCCACTATCCTTTTAGCGCCCATATTGTGCACTTTGGCTTTTGTCTCAGTGACAACTTGAGAAAATAGCTGTATAAGATATGTTATAAATAATAAGCACTACGACGTTGTATTCCATTACAAAAAAGGAACATAAATCTAAAACACAGAAACGTAAATAAGAGGCGAAAAACTCATTAAAATGACGCATTTCATCCGCATTTTATCCCCATATCCGTTCCGTGAATCCGCATCCGCTTTCCGCATTTTAATCTAATTATGACGTGTTCACAATAACAAGTCTCATTGACCTTTGATATATTTCGAAGGTCACGTTGTTTCATGAGTCATTTTCAGCTTTTCGCATGTATTCATAATGTAACTTTAGATTTCAATAGTTTCACAGTTATTGCAGTGTTTATATAGCAGTTTTGACAAGCTTTGATACAGATAGATTCTCGTAAGATCTGGTAGAGTTTTCGTTGCACTGAACACGAATTTGCACCGTTGTGCTATACACGTAAACAAAGATTTTCTCAATATTTATGTCTGAAATGTTTATACATTTGAAAACACGGTCTCGCTGCTTCCTAGCTCTGTATAATGAATATACCGTCGGCACTTAATAGAATGCCCGTAATGCAAAAAATCAATTTATATATTGCGTAGAATCTCAAAGATTTTCTCAATATTCATGCCTGAAATGTTCATACATTTCAAAAGACAAAACAACACTGTCTCGCTGCTTCCTAGCTTTGTATATTGAAATTGAATATACCGTCAAAATAATATCGGTATTTAATTGAATGCCCATAATGCATAAGTCATAACATCAATTTATATATTGCGTAGATTCTCAAAGATTTACTCGATATTCACGTCTATAAAAATGTTTATAATTTGAAAACAACACTGTTCGGCAGTGTCGCTCCTTCCTAGCATCGTCATTCGTCACGCCATCGTGATCTACAGCTTGATAGCACATGCGCATTTGCGCTGCTAAAGAAAAAATGGGTGTTCCGGGGGAAAGATCTTTCACACAACACGGAGAAGCAAATGTTATAAAATTGACAAAAATTTGCAATAACAACAATTCCTGGAAATTTTTGTGAACTTGGCAAAAGGACAAAATAAGTATTTAAATAAGACAACTGAAATTGCCTAAATAACCTTCAAAGCACTGACTAAGTAGAATAAATCACCACGACGATAAATCGTATACACCCCCCGGAAAGTTTACTCTATGATATCTGATGTATGACAGATGTGAATTTTCGCCACTCATCACAATAGTGCACAGTTTCAAAGAAACTCTGCACTAAAAAGCATGTTTAGTGCTCTATCTGTAAAATTATGCCAAAATGAAGAGATTTAAGATGGTACGCCAAAGAGAAAATGATGCCCTTAGCTGAAATGGCTTCAAATTGTCCAACAGCCATACTAATACAAAATACATCGTTCGCGACCATCACTGTAATTGGCAAGATTACGACGACAAATTACGGGAATGTAAGTTTTTGATCTTATTTCTTCTCTCGAGTTATTTTATTTTAATTAACATTGCAAGTCTAAATGTTTCCCAACCTCGTTGCCAGGGTTTGTTGAATTTCCCCCTATATTCACGTCTTGCAGTCACGCGGGACAAAAAGCTGGCACGACTAGCTTTGGAACAGGAGGCTCCTATAACTGGCAAGGAAAAATTGTCATGGGGAACTTGCTCGTCTGTTACGGGACAAAAAGCCGTATTTTTATTGACGTATAGATCATACGTAGGTAAACTGCACGTAACTGAATTGAAACGTGCGTAAAAACAGTGGAAAATTTGACCATACATGCAGTAACGCATGTATGTAACATGTCTCAAATAACAGACACAATTTCTATCCTCATGCAGATCCCTCCCCATGTGGAATAACAGATAAAATTTCGACCCTCCGCCTTTTTTCATAGTCAATACACGCACTTACTAATAAATTATCGTCATCGCTTAAAGTTATTGATTCATTTGTCAGAAACCGTTTTATTGTCTCGGTAGCTATGATATTACAAAGTGATTTTTAGTGACGAAATGTCCATCAACAAGATCGAGAGCACATTTAATGTCGGGTACATTTAATCACTAATCGACTCATAAATATTTCGTATATGTAAAAAATTGAAAATGTTCTTCGACCTTCAGTTTCTAAGGCAAATTTTCCTCAGGATCAAATTAAAAAAATATCAAAATACCAAGATTCCACAATTTCCAGATTAAATAACTATTTGCAAACTTGTAACAACTTGTCAACATCCTTGGGCAGTAGTGGACACATCACAAAATATTGGGGGAGGATCGAAATTTTCAATATGTATGAAACGAAATTTCTCTTTGTTTCATGAGCTCTCAAGCAGAACTAATTGTAAAAAGACAAAGAGAAATTTCGTTTCGGTCGAAAAATTCCGCCTCGTGGAATCAGGCCTTAAGGCTCTAAGTTATTCGAATCTTTCAGAACATGAGTCCCGGGTTGTGCCATTTAACTGGCATTAGATACTTTTTCCAAGATATAATCAAATTAATCATGTCGATTAGCGTTGTTATTTAATGTACAATTATAACTACCAATTCTAATTGTTTAAAAAGATTATCAGTAGATCTGTAAAATAGATTGTTTGAAATGCGTATGTTGTTGTCGCATCATACCACATACGGGATTTGCACCAATTAGTGAACATCTGTGCACATGCTCACACGTACTACTATTTGCTGAGCAACGTGTGTTTGTAAATCCTCACTTTCTAGCCAATAGCTAGCCTGCTCGCCGCCTTAAAATTTGACTAATAGCGATCTTGAAACGGACACGCGTCGCAACAACCTCGTTCCCAGGGTCTTTAGGAAAGACCCTGGTATCGGCTGGTCACGTGCCTCGTCCAAAATTGATTGCCTGAGGGGGGTGTGGTGAAAGTATCAAATTACAAACAGTTTAAAACATAAATTTTGCGAACTATTATACCAGTAAGTTCAAAATACTTGCTAATTTTTGTTTATTTTATTTGCTTTGAATTTACAAGAACATTCTTACATTTTTACCAACAGTCAAGTCAAGAAACCAAGCAAATCGTTACTCGCAGTGCTCTCTCGTGTTATTATTATTCAATGCTCTCTTCACACTCGAGCGCGGTTTTATAACAAACGTTTATGGGCTTTTCAGTGGTCACCATTTCTACATATCTAATGTTTTTAAAACACGTATTAGATTTGTCCTTTTTTGTAAACGTTGCTATGCTTTGCACGTCTTGTTTATAAGATTTTTAAAAGAAACAGTATTGTATTGTCTAGGACTAGAGAGTAGAGCCCAATAACAGCAAATGTAAACATTTGATACTAGCCAAACAGAGAAATGTCTGTCAGTGATTTATCTTTAAAATTTTGTATTTAGTACATAATTCGTATTCATTAATTATAGTAAGGCTTTAGCCTTTTTCTTGGTCAGATAATATTTTCCTAATATGCACACAACTAGGCTATAAATTATCTACATCACAAATTTACAGTGTCAGTACAGTGTCAGACGCGCACAGACTGCCATACGAATACACATAAATTTTCGAGTTTTCTACTTCTACTAAGGCTACTAACAGTTTTCATTGTGTCTCAATCATCTGTTTATTTCTAGTTCAATAAGTTCATTTATATTTCTATATTTATTTGATAGTGGCATATATAGTGATACATGTAGGCTATTTACACACAAGCAAATGAATCCTGGATATGATAGAGACGATACAACTACAAGCTGTCCATTAAAAAATAACGGTATTCTATTTCACAAAGCAAAAAATTTAAATCTCACTTGAATTATTAAGAATATATATAAAGCAGAAAATTAAAGCTTGTGTCAAAACGAAAGCTGTTTATAAAATTTATAAATGTGGTATAAACACAATAGTAAACAGTAAGACAAATATATTGTCGTTTGACTTATCTTTGATGTATGACTTTACTGTAATACCGTAGATTTTCAACAGACAGCTAGACTTTGACATATATACCATGATCGTTGAGATCTTGCAGGAAATGTTATAGTCTTTTGACGGGATTTAAGTTTTGTGATAAGGCCTTTATAATCAACAATCTCGATACAGTTGGCGTCTTGGCCGTTTGGCGATATTTCGGAAATCAAAAGATCTCGCTATTTCGTTCCAATTCCACATCTCATCAATAAATATATTCTTTTGGTTCGAGTATCAGGATGTACTTTAATACTAACAGTTAAATAAATATAAACCACATTGGTCGGTCTAGAGATACGAATTTTCTTGTAGGCTTTAAATTAATATTGCCACGCCGCCCAGGCGTGCTTTCTTTGGCAAGTCTATAAGTTGAAATCTGATCCAACTTGCTTGAATTGTAACTCGACACTAGATTATAGAGTAGAAAGTCACATCACGATAAATATTAATTTTTTATTGCAGTTCTCTTCACGATTTCTTGTTGCAAATTTAAATTTCATCACACAAAATTGCAAATATTGTTACAAACGCGACAAACACGCTCCTCTCCCACCCTGCCCATAGTATCATTTTAATTTATCACCCAGAATCTGGGTGACACGTGACCAGCCGAAACCAGGGTCTTTCCTTCGCCTCGCGCCGTTCTAAGAAAGAACCTGGGAACGAGGTTGGCGTCGCAATGCATTTCAGATCGATTACATATTGACAGGACTACAGGTGGTCTTAAACACAGTTCAACAGAAGCTAGAGAGTCGTTCATCTTTTGGGGATTCGTAAGGCCCAGTGAAAAAATGGCTATGTCAAACGGTATACGAGTGGGCTCGATCACAATTGGATGTTCGCTGTTGGTACTCACATTCCTCTCTATGATCTGTGGTATTGTCGCGATGAGCAAAATGAGTACTCCAGTTGCTAGAGCTAGTATCGGTTTATGGGGACTTTATGTAAGTATAAGATTTCACAGTGTTTTCTCTTTAACGTTTGCGTTTTTATGTAACTAATTGATTTATAGCGCCGGTGAAGAAGACTGCGTTTCCGTAGGAGATGTCTCTATCATACCCGACATATTCAGGCTAGAGTTTTACGTCCTACCATATTTTACAGCCTTAGAAAAAAGTTGTATATGTATGACGGTGCCTTCATAATGAAACTCTTTAAGGTTTGTGAAAGGAAAAGCGCTACCCAGCGCGGTTTCAAACACAACATTTCTATAAAATTAATAATGTATCTATACAGCCTAGAATTCAGTATATGTGCATGCTAATTCTTTATACTATTTTTTAAACATGTAATAATTTGTCATTGCTTTACAAGCCCATCGATAAATAGAGTTTAAAATGAAGTTGGAGTTGTTTAAAATGAAGTTTGGATAAATAAAATTTGTTTAATTAAAATGAAGTCGAGAATGGGTGGGCATGGTGGAGGATATCGGTTAGACGACACTATTCTGAGTGCCGTATTTGCTTGTCGTTAGCAGACAGACAGATGCGATGGACGTAAGCTGCCAAACATTTGCTTTTTGTATGAAATTTAAATTTACATAATAGACAAAGTAATTCATATGCAGTGAGCCCCGATGTTTATTCCGCACTAGAGATAAAATTTCCATCAAATTTCAAGCGTTCACGAACTGCGCGTTTTTCGCTGCATGCTTTGAAGGTAGTGATTGTGTGGACAGACTTAGCAAGCATGATATTCCATGAACACATTTATGACCATTTGAAAGTTCAGTCATGCAACTAACTATTCTGAGAAGCTTTTCCAAAATTTCAGCCTTTATAAATGGTACGTACTGATAAAAATTAAATGGGTGTATAAATGGCAAATGTAGGAGTAAAATGCAAAGGTAACAAGTAACTTAATGGAAATGAACTTTTAATATTCTCTATTATGGACTACGTTTACTCGTTAACTGGAATGAAATAACGGCCAAAAATTTTACAATAGGAAATTATGATTACTTTCGTTCCAATTATAAAACTTATTTCTGAAAGATTGGATAGTTTGAGATCCTAAGGTCGCAAGGTAAACTATTCCAAGTCACCACACCCCTGTAACAAAATGATTTTTTCTTCAAATTAGTGTTTGGTTTAGGTGGAAAATAATTTTGCACCTGTCTCGTTTCGTAATTATGTATGTCATCGGTTCTTTGAAATAATTTTGATATGGAGTGAGCCATAGAACTATTGAATTTCTGACTTTAAACATTAGTGTAGCAAGTTGTTGGTTCCTACGAGTCTTCAGATAATTAAGGTTTAAAGGCGAGATCTCGCTTACCGGGAAGAAAATGTCTCCATATGCATACTCACAAACCTAGCCGGCTGGCCGCTGGCACGGTTTTAACAACAAAAGTGAAACTGAAGTCATAACACTTTTAAAAATGTCAACACGCATTTCGACATTTAATGTCATTTAAAAATGTCAACACGCATTTCGACACCGGTTGTGATATTTGTGTTCAATGTGACAATGTATATAGCCCACAGTAAGACTTTATTTAAATGCGTTTATTACATCAACAAACGACGTTTCGCTGGAGGTTTACTCAAACAACAAACGACGCGATTTTTCCATTTTCACTGATCGATTAGTTTGATTCTAGTTTAAATTTTCCAAATATTTAGAAACGGTATAACATTTTGAGTTATTTGGTCTACATATCTTTCAAAATTTGCTCTCATTGGCTGTTTTATTAACTTTCAAAAACTAAAATATCGCGTCGCGTTGTCGAATCGCGTCCGGTGTGTCTGGACCTTAAAGCTTGCGACCATGCATTAAGGTCCATACAGACCGAACGCGATTCGACAACGCGACGCGAATTTTCAGTTTTTAAAAACAAATAAAACCGTCAACGGATAAAAATTTTACAAGATGCATATGCAGACCAAATAGCTAAAATTGCTTAAGTGGTTACGAATATTTGAAAAACATAGAAAAAAATATTGAAGGTCGAGACACGCTGGGCGGGATTCGAGAACGCGACGCAATATTTTAGTTTTTGCAAGTTAATAAAAAAACAGCCAAAGATAGCAATTTTTGAAAGATATGTAGACCAAATAACTCAAAATGTCATAGCGCTTCTAAATATTTGGAAAATTCAAACTAGGATCAAAGTTATCGGTCAGTGAAAATCGAAAAATGGCGTTGCGTTACGAATCGCGCCCAGCGTGTCTGGACCATTATTCGCGCGTGTGAAATTCGACAACGCGATGCGAATTTTCAGTTTTTAAAAACAAATAAAACCGGATATGAAAATTTGCGTCGCGTTGCCAAATCGCGTCCGGTCTGTACATAGGCAGCCCATTGTTATGCTTGCCGGTGCACGGGCGAGGTATAGCATACATAGTTGTATTATTTCCTAAGCCGGTAGGCAAATGTAACAAACGGTTTTAAAACGTCGAAAAACCGTCAAAATGGCAGCCAATGAGATTGGGAAAACGCCATCAAAAACTTCGACCGCAGGTTCAGCAAGAATTGAACAAAATTGCAAAAACTTTTCGTATTTTTCTCGCATTACAAATTTGTTTTGTACGTTAATTAAAATATTGTTAGTATCTAGTAAATTAAAGTATCGTATATTTTATTTCCGTTATTATTTTAGCGTAGTTGTAAAGATATTTGAAGTATTTTGGATTGTTTGAAGGTATATGTATCGGTAGTTTGATTGCATTTGCCTACCTTAGGAAATAATACAACTATACAATGCGTCGCCCGCGCACAGGCAGGCAACCATAACATTGGGCTGCCTATGGTTTGTATGGGCCTTTAACGTTTATGCATGCGCATGTTAGTTTAAATTCAAATTGTAATCTCATCTACCTGAAGATGGAGTAACTCTTCGAAACATCGTTTGTTGATGTGATAAACACATTTAACGATTTAAAAAGTCTTACTGTGGTCTATACATTGAACACAAAATATATTATTAACATGAGGCTTAGAGAAAGTTCCTCCTTAAACATTTATTTTAATTCAGTGTTATGTTTCAACTTCTAGTCTGTTCTAGCCGATTGCATGGCCATTTTAACGTGATTATTTTGTTTAATTTTAGTTTGCAATTCCTGGAGTCTTTAGTGTCCTAGCTGGATACAAAAAGCAGTCAACTTTGGTAAGGAATGCTTTAATTCCGTCTGGCCGTTTGAGCTTCAATCTCGTACCCTGAGCCTGCAATATCAGGATTCGAGATTGTATTGGCTTATTATCAACCTCGCACCCAGGACCTTCCAGCGGTCAAAAGTCTCTGGCTTATTACTGGGACTCAAATATCGGTCTTCCAGTTATGCTGCCAGCAGGGATTATATTTTCTTCGTGAAAACCGTAATTGTCGTTTTCCTTATAATATAAAAGCGTTTCGGCCATTTTTCTTTCAGAGATAAACAGGAGGAGGTTTTGTTTAGGATTTCGTTTAAAAAAAATAATGGAAACTTATAAAACAAGCTCACAAAGGGGCGAGACTATAATAGGCCTCCCGTATGGACACAAATTCATATAAAGAAACTTATTCAATAGGCTAGTAGACCTATATATAAGCACAATATAAGCATATATCTGATATCACACTGCTGCTCATGTTTTAAATAGTGCATAACGTTATAAAATTAGTCGTTAGTTTAACAGTGGTTAAACATTTCTGTACTCATATAGTCATATATATTCTTTTTATATTGATATAGTTGGCTGTTGCACTTGGCACCCATGTCTTAGGAATTGTTCTCGCGATTGTTGGATTGTATTTTGGAGCTTCGTTTTGGGCTATACTGGCTTCAAATTGTGCCGATAGTTATGATTTGTATGACGGCGATTATCGGCCAAGTTACCGGCGCATCAGAACGGTCAAACGCGACGGCTACTGTTCTTGTTTTTACCATGACGACATGTATGAGTATACATGTAAGTTGTTGATTTTGTGTATTCTCTCGACAAGTCTGATTTTTCCCCTATCGGTCTTGCAGTCACGTGAAATATTACAAGAGATGTTAAAATTCAATTCTGTCGCTATCTTAGATCCGGCTAGTTGCTCCGACCTGAAAACTGTTCGCGAAGCTACTGGTGCAGTCACGATATTCTTTGCTCTTTTTGCTATCGTCACTTTGGTGGGATCAATTTATGGCTGCATTGGAACTTGCTGTGCACGACGGGTAAATTATGCTTGGTATAGATATCTATTTAAAGTAATATATCAAATCCGACTATGAGGATTGGACTAGACTTCAAGTCCGCGCAATTTCATCAAAATGCGAAGACTTTAAATCTAGTTCAGTCCGAATTGACCATTTGCGTAATAGACTAAATTTTGAACTAAACAAGTCTAGACAAAAATTTCATCACAGCTTGAAAGAGCATCACAAAATTAGTAATATTCCAAAGTTTCGTTGCAAAATGTTATAAAATGCGGAAAATATAGCCTTGCGAAATTTGCAATTTTCAGTCATTTTAGATTACAAACGGGAAATTGACAGCCCCAAACCTTTCGAGGCTGTCAATTTCCGGTTTGTAATCTAAAATGACTGAAAATTGCAAATTTCGCAAGGCTATATTTTCCGCATTTTACAACATTTTGCAACGAAACTTTGGAATATTACTAATTTTGTGATGCTCTTTCAAGCTGTAATGAAATTTTTGTTGAGATCAAAATTTAGTCTATTACGCAAATGGTCAATTGAAGGATTTGAAATGACATCTTATACAAATAAATCACTACTTAAAGTGAGGTGAATTAATTTTGATCCACCCAAGCGAAGATTGAATTAATTTTAATCCAGTCCTAGGACTGGACCAATATACTTCATGAGGAATCCAGTATTATCATGTGAGCAAAATAAAGCAATATATGGTTGGCTAATTTATTCATGAATTATTAATGTGTTTGACCCCAACCGATCAACTTAATGGTATTCCTGGTTAAATTAAATTGCATGGCAAGGCCCTCGGAAGTAAATCAATATTGGGGAGGGGCCTCAATCACTTTCTTGAATAAATCTGAATTGCTTTTGTACCTTTCTAGTTCTTTTGCAGTATTTTGCTTATACAAATATTGGGGGGGGGGGGGGGTCAACCCCCCCCCCCCCCCCC